TTATTTAATATTTCGGATGCATATTTTAGTTTGAACTCTATCAAGAGGGTAAATCTCCAGCTGCCCTTTCCATCTCATTTTTCCTTGGTTTTAGGAAAAGAAAAAACCACTCATCCACTCCTCCTCCCTGTCGCCTTGCAGTAACATAGAAGCAGGATGTAATAGTCTTCACGTTGGATAAGACCTAATGTGAATGTTGTGTCAAGAAGATTGATGTTTATCATCTGGGAATGGCATGAAACCACTTCATTGGCAAAACTAAATGCTGTAGTAATGAGTAAAGTAGCTCCAGTGAAAGTATGGAATGTTCCCCATAATATAATTGGAGCAGCATGAATCTGCTTAAAGAAGTTCACAATCATACCAGTTAGCTGAAATACCCATACATTTTTCTTCTTCACTGTCTCCTTATTTAAATTACCGAATGAAACCTCTCATCTTTGAGCCTTTTTAGAAGAAAGAGGAATGACAGGGCACCTAAAAATAAAATGTCAAATTAACTTTGGAAGGAAGGCCACGGGAAACACATAATCACAGCTTCTTATTAGAAAAAAAAATTCCACTGCCCATGAATACTTACGCAAGGAGAGCAGTGAACCGCTAAGTTCTTTCTGACTGGACTTTTAGAAAGATTGTGTGATTCAAGGTACATCGAGAGGCCTCACCATTACAGTTTGCCTCGTGGCTCAGACCAGAGCACAAAGTGGGTTGTTCTATGTATGTTTTAACAAATCTAACATCATGCCCTAGTATTTCCAGGCAGGAACAGTAAACATCTGTTCCTGCAGCTGTTATCTGCAAATGTTGCCTCTCTTTGGCCTTTCCCGAGTCTTGTGTCAAGTCTCAATTACCAGCTGTATGAATGGAGCTGCAGAGAGCGGCTAGACCTCAAGTCTTCATGTTTGTCATTGGCAAGCCAGATTCATTCTGACATTGATTCTTGGCAAGTGTGTGTTGGGAGGGCAGTTATAACATTAGGCACAGGTGATCCAGTCTGTTTATGGTACTTGGGTATTTGGGGTTTCTAGGTGTAGCGGAATGCCAAAAGGTGACGTCATTCCTGCCTGTCCATTACAGGAGCTCAAGGGGGAGGA